GGGGTGATAGGGTCACAAAAAGCCCCGAATCGTGGGTCTGGCCCTATAAACTTGGGCTATTTGCCCCCCCCCCACGGGGGTCACGGGGTCACGCTCCTTCCGCCCTCGTGACCGGCTCCAACCGTCCCCCCAAGCCCAGGTGATTTCTCGGAAACCAGCCGAGATCCCAGCGGGGGGCGTGTGGCCGGCAGGGGGCGCTGGAGCCTCGTGCCACGAGCCGGGCTCGGTGCCAGCTCCAGCCGGGCACCGAGGGACTTTCCCGTGACTCACCCAGCAGCCAGAGAGCGGCCGTGGAACCGGGCACAGGGCAGCACGGCATGTGCAGGGCAAAGGCCTCGCCGGGGCTTCGGGCACCACCCGCGGAGCTAGGTAGCTGGAGCCCTGCCAGCCTTCCTGTCGGGCACTGGGAGCCCGGACGCCTGGGTTCTCTCCCAGCTTGGGGAGGGGAGAGGGGACTGGTGGTTAGAGCAGGTATAGAGCCTGGGTTCTCTCCCCAGCTCTATACCTCCTTGATCTACCGCTCGGTCCAGGCTGGGAATCTGTGTGATCCCTGCCCCATTGCTCCCAGAGTTGCCATCTGTTTTTTGTTGTACTTAGGGGCACAGCTGACCTGTGGGGTGCCCCACACTCCGTAAGGAGGTGGCCTGGTCTGAGCTGAGCCCTGACGCTGCCGTGAGACGGGACTTTCCAGCCGGCCCCACCCAGCCCCACGTCTGGATCTCACGCCCCCCCCACACACACACTGGGGCACATTCCCGGCTCCCCCGCGTATCAGCCAGCGGGGAGCTAAGGTTACCCCGTGTGACGAACTGGGACTGTTCTTACTGTGGTCTGTGAATGCTGACAGGGGAGTGTGGCTGGGATAGTCTGCATTGGGGGATGGGAGACTGACCGACGGAGAATACCTGAGCGTGTAACATGAGAACCCAGGAAGGGGTTGGAGGCCAGGTGACACCTTAGCCCCGGATACTGAACAAAGGCTGTGGGAGGGGTCGCTGGAGGGAGAGTTTCGGGAGCTGGCTAGTGACATGGCTGGGAGGCAGACAGGGCTCTGACCTCCCAGGGGGGCTAGGGTGCCCGGGGACCCCAAGATGGACCTAACTGAGGGGGGTCCTGTTGTCTGTGCCTGCAAGTCCTGTCTTGGACTGTGTCACTGTCGTCTAAATAAATCTTCTGCTTTACTGGCTGGCCGAGAGTCATAGTGAATCGCAGGAAGCCGGGGGTGCAGGGCCCTGAGTCCCCCAATACTCCATGACAACTGGTGGCAGAGGCGGGATCTACTGCATCCCGTGGACGGCGCTTCCTGCAGTAAGTGAACTGGGGAGCAGTAAAATGAAGGGGGATTGACGGGGACCAGGCGTGCTGAAGAGTGGGAGAGAGACGGTTATTACCCCTGGGAGTGTGTGACCAGCGAGAAGGACTTTTGCAGTAACAGGGTCCCCCGGGGGGATCGCAGCGAGTGGTCCCGAGGGGCGGAGGAGTCTGCAGCTCGACCCTGGCAGAGAGGTGGTGACCTCGAGAAGGGCTGGCACACTAGGGGGCCCCCTGGGAACTGTGGGGAGCTGTGAGCACACAGGCCGGTGAGTGGCCAGCAGGAAGATGTATGCCAAGCGGCTTAAGAGCGACCTGGTGGAGCTGTGCAAGCAGAGGGGGCTGCGCATTGG